AGTTAACATGCAGCCTGGCGGGCCCGGGAGGGAGGACCTCGGGACCCTGCTCCGGGCCGCCGCTGCCGGGAGGACTTGGCGCAGGGGGACCGGGGACTGCGGAGGCGAGGAGGGAGGTCCTGGGGCGCGGAGCGTGCTCAGATGGCGGGGCGCGACCGCGGCCCTGACCCGGAATCCTACCTGGACCCGGACCCGGACCCTGACCCCGACTCAAGGACCTGTACTCCTGTTCTCCGACCTCGGACTCGGACCCTGACCCTGGCCCCGTCTTGGCTCGAGGAGGGTGCTGCCAACGGGCGGTCTCCGCCTGGCAGGCCTCGGGCCGCAGCGTCCGCCCGGGGGGTGCCTGGAGAGTCCTGTGCTCGGAGAGGATGAGGAGGGACTCAGGGTCAGAACGAGAGCGTCGGGAGGAGGGTCTGAGCGCCCCTGCTCAGGCGGCTGGCGTTTTCTGTCCTCAGATGCTTAACTCTGGAGAGCCAACCGTCTCCTGGACTGTTGTTTTCTTCTGGAGACAGGATGACTCACTCTGGAAGTGCGCAGCCCTGGTGACCACGGTCAAGGCCCAGGAGGCCTCGTCCACTGGCTGTCCCTGGGAGAAGGGGAGAGTCTGTTGTTTTATTCCTGGGCCCAGGCCGTCCCCGACTCTGTCCCAGCCCACCTGGGGTCTGGTACTTGAATGCTTAGGTCTCAGGCTGCTGATTGTCTCACAGAAGTAGGGTTATGGTGACAAGTTTTTTTCTGTGCTTTTCTGTCTTCCCCAAACTCCTAAAGAGGAATCATTAAACAGTAACCAGCCTTGCTGAGTGCTGCCTAGTGCCTGGCTCTGTACCCTAGACACTCTTGGAATCTTCACAAGTCTGCAAAGTAAATGCTTTTGCATCTATTTTATGGATAAGGAAACAGACTGGAAACAGCTTGATCTCACAGCCCCAAGATCACAGCTAAAAAGTGACGGCACAGTTTCAGAGCTGGCCTGACTGACTTCGGGGCCTGTGCTCTCCACGTGATGGCCTTGTATGTTATAGGAGGCACATGTATGACAGATAAATCACACGTCCTTCCCGTCACTCCTGAAGCTAGAAAGGTTTGGGGACTGTTTTTTAAGTGGTGTCCTGATTATTATTCCTCAGCCCTGGCCACCAGGTTCTCGTGTGCAGTTGGTTATGAAGGGGCCCGCCCTGACCGGCACGGTGGGGCTGCCTGCCTTTTCTCACGCTCTGTCCACAGTCCATCCTCCCCAGTCTCCTCCTTCACTGTTTTTCCCCCTGGTTAAACTGTCCCACCCACATTCCGCCGTCCACTGTCCCCAGACCAGTCCCGTGACCGTGACCAGGCTTCCGAGAGTGGTTTCTTGCACCCTTGCACCCGATCAAAGCTGGTGCAATGCCGACCTGACAGGAAGTGACCGAGCCCCACCCCCACCCCTGCCCCTTCATCACCCTGCCAGCAGGCTTTGTGACTCAGCCTCTCACAAGTTTGAATGTGTTTGGGAAGAGGGTAAGATCTATCCTGTTAACACAGTTTGAACTAGAAGTGTTATCGGCGACTGCCCTGGAAGCAGTGCAGGGTGGCGGCGGGGCAGGCTCTGGAGGAAGAACGCAGCCTCCAGTCCTTCTGAGTCTCTGACCTTGGGCAAGTGTTTACCTTCTCCAGGCCTCAGTTTTCTCCTCAGGAAAATGGGGATAAAGCTGTCAGCAAAATGAGGCTGATAGCAGCCCCGGGTACCCCATGGAGTTGTAAAATGCAATGAAAGTCTGAAAGCAGCTTGTCAGTGGGGAAGCCTTTCACATGCAGGATGTCCTGGGAAGTAAGGTTCTGGGGATGCAATCTTTTTTCTTTTCTTTTCTTTCCTTTCCTTTTTTTTTTTCTGGTGGGGAAGTAATTGGGTTTATTTGTTTTTTCTTGGAGGAGGTACTGGGGATTGAACCCCTTGAGCTATACCCTCCCTCCCCGGAAGGTCAATTGTTTGTCCAAACCCATTTATTTAACAACTGCGCTCTGAAGTCTGGCTGTGTCCCAGGCCTCAGGTGAGAGGTGGGCCTGACTCAGAGCCTCACCTCTGCTGCAGCCTCCGGTTTGGTTAGAGGATTCAAGCCTCCCGGAGAGAAGGGCCTGGGGGCGGCACACCAGACCTGCCTCCTCTGGGCCCCATGTAAGAAGCAGGAGCTCCATGGTCCTTGCAGCCACTCCCGTCCCCTGCCCTCAGTTCCTGCTGTACTGTGATTTCTGTTTATATCTTCCTCTGCTCTGAACTCTGTACACCAGGACGGTTCGACATGGCCTCCCATGACTCAGAGGCACTCATGGTGACCGCCTAGGTCAGTGGACTGCCACCCTGACACCAGGGTGCCGAGCATGACCAGGGAGGCTGGGAGGGCTGTCCTTTGCACCACTGGTGGGCGGGGGGAGGGGCAGAGTGTGAGTCCTCGTGGGTCCCCGCAGCTCTTGTTCCCGCGTGGTCAGCTGAGGGCTCCAGGCCAGCTGCTCTCCCATCAGTCACCTCAGCTGTAAAGTAGGAATCATACTTCTGCAGTCTAGGGAAAGAAGTTGATCTTTCGGGTTTAAGATCTAGGCTTTCCTACTAAAAATTAAATAATTATTTGCTTCTTCCTAAATTCCTTCATGTAACCACTGGCTCTGTGGACTTTATCAGCTGTCGATTGCTATGGAACAAACTAGCCTAAAACTTAGCAGGTTAGAACAGCCAGTGTTAATTCCCTCACGGTTTCTGAGGGTCAGGAGGTTGGCTGGCGAGTTCTGGCTCAGCCTCTCACCCACCTGGGTGCATGGAGGTGGGGTTGTAGTCTTTTGAAACCTCCAGGCTTCTGAGGTGCTGCTGGCGGGAGACAGCAGGCAGCTCCTCATCACGTGCCGCTCCATAGGCCACTCACATGACGTGGTACCGTTTGGCAGGAACAGCCCACAGGTGCTAATTCCAGGGGGTAGGGGTCATGGACAGCCAGCCTGGAGGCTGCTGACCACAGTGATGTTCAGAGAAATCTGATGTTCAGACCTGCTCAGCAAAGCTGGTCCCCTCGGTTCCTCGGTGCCCCGTCACGTGGTCCTAGCCCTTCATGGAGTCACCGATCACCACACTGGCTGGTTCGGGAACAGGAGCGTCAACCCCACAGTCGTTCCTTAGGACTTGTGTTTGAAGGCAGGGAGGGGACCTTGCCTTTGGGGTCATGGAGCAGAAGCATGAATCAGCAGTTCTGCAACACCCTTCCCGCTGTGGTTGGAGAGGGTGGGGCCACACAGCCAAGAGACAGAGGCTGCAGGTGAGCCTCTGCGCAGTCTGGTTTGCGTCCCTAGATCCAGTTACCGGAAGCGGGACCCGCCTTCACACCCTTATCCTGGGTCGACCTCGTTCTCACAGTGCATGTTTACAGTCTTTCAGACCATCCAAGCTGGGGTGTGCCTCTCCAGGTCCATTAGCCGCTGGGGAGCCACAGCCAGACACCCAAGGTTCCTCCTCCATGCCCCAGTACTGGTCCAGAAGCCTTGTCTAGGTTCAGCTACCAGGAAACAGGGGCCGTGTCTGGATGTCCAGTTTACAACCTGTACCTCTCTGGTTCCTCAGGTCACTTGTTAGGTGAATGATAAGGGAAGAAGAAAGGATTCATTTGTCTGTGTCTGACCTTCTGGGAGCTTCCCGTGAATGTGCCCTGGAGTCAACAGGTTGCTCTGTTCACTAGTCTCCAGGATGTAGCCAGAGACCAGAGGATGCATCCCGTAATACGCCGCT